AAAACCCCCCCCCCAAAAAAAAAAAAACAAAAACAAAAACAATCACATGTTCACTGCACGCTGGGATCTTTGAGCTTCCCTCTCCTCCGTGTCCCCAGATCTGTGTATTAGGAGAAGTATTAGTGAAGTATTATGCCAAAGAAAGCTCTTGTGGAAACAGACTTTTAGATAACCCATTCCTCCAACAAGTATTTAAACTCATACGCGGGGAAAATAAACAACTTGTTTGAGCCCTTGGAGAGAGGTGGTGGTGCTTTGCTTGGACTTGTAATCATGAGTAGTTATATGCAGGCTATGGAAGGCAAAAAGCAGAAATAAAACTACTGAACAAAACAAAACCTGATTTTGTGTCTCAGCTCTCCCCTGTGATTGTCACATAGGATCACACTTTGGCACATTTTACTGTACTCAGGATAAACTGCTTCCTACTGACTGTGCACCTGATTTGTCACAAAACAAGATATGTCAGTCTAGCAAAGATCTCTTAAGAGGCTCCTGTCCTTCAGCCACCCAAGCACTTTCCCAATGACTTCAGGGAGATTTAGAGCCAAGGCAGAAACACAGGACTGTGATGGCTTACAGCACCTTAAACAGCACAGACTTCAGTGAAGATGCAGATGTTCAACAACTCTTAGTATTAAATCCTCTCAGAGCCAAAGAAAGCCTTTACTGAAGCAGCTTTCTTGCTTAAGTACTCAGAAATGCAACTGGAATTAATTTAGATTTGGCCCCCACATAGAAGTACAACATGATTATTCCAGTGAGGGATGTGATTTTTCCTTCTGGCAATGAAGTTCCTCTGTACAATCCTATTGCAGTTACATTGCTATAAATACTGCTTATAGCACTATAATTTATTTCCATTCCCATAAACACATTCTAACCAGCCAACCATTGTCTTTTCTTGTTCAGTTACATTGCTTTAGCTATGGGAACATAGTTAAAGTCTTGGGTGTAAACAAAACCTTAGTGATGGTGTTACTTCTGTTTTATTTAGCTTAGACCCTCTACTGAAGGCATCCTACAGTACACATCTCTCTTGACCCTTAAGATCAGAATAAGCTTCATACTAGAAATGGTCTACTAAAATTTTTGTTATTTAACAAACAGCAAAGCACCATATGAGAAATTAGTGAGAGCTGTCATGTTTCACTGCTTATGAGTTTTTAATGTAAACTTATTGCTTGAAATAATACTAACATGTAGATCCACAGCCTTAACTTAGTAATAATTCTACTCACAGGGGACTCCTTGCAAGCATTTTCCAGTGTATTTAAACCATATCTGTTCCTTCAGAAAGATTATCCTGCAAAGTTTCATCTGCATTTGAGAACTAATTCATCAACTAGATGGGGATCCACCACATAGCTATTTTTCAGATTAATCTGTCCCAATTTAATACAGAACAAATAGATTCACCTGCATTTGACATTACTACAATGTACCAAAGGTAGTTAAAAATGAGTCCAGAGTCCAAACTGATTATACTACCAGGCAAGATATTATCACAAAACTGGATCTATGGAACAAAGAAAAAAATTCATGAAAACTGAAAAAGGCAACAAGCCAAAAGTTACTGTGACAAACAGGGCAGAGGTTGTAGTAGGAGTCTACTACAGACGACCCAACCAGGACAGAGAGATGGACGAGATATTTTATAGGCACTTAGGAGAAATCTCACGATCGCTTGCCCTTGTTCTTGTGGGCAACTTTAACTTCCCAGACATTTGCTGGAAATACAACATGGCAGAACAAGACCAGTACCGGAGATTCCTAGAATGTGTGGGAGACAACTTCTTGATGCAGCTGGTGAGTAAGCCAACCAGAGAAGGTGCCCTGCTGAATCACCTCTTTATGAACAGAGAAGGGCTGGTGGACAACGTGGAAGTTGGAGGTCGACTAGGGCACAGCGATCATGAAATAATAGCATTCTCTATTCTTAGAGAGGTCAGGAGAGAGCTAAGCAGGACTGACATCCTGGGCTTCAGAAGGGCTG